GAACAAAATAAAATGTTGAGGTCCAAGATAACACTGGAACCCACTAAGACATTTTTCAGGATATCTTCTTTTATATTCCAGCTTTAGAACAACATGAGGGTTCATTATCATTTTTAGGTGAACTTTCCCTTGAACTGCTTAAAAGTTCATTTCTGACACCAATATTAAGTGTTAAGTCAGACACAAGTAAAGGTGCTCTCTCTTTTCCTTCTCTTCCAGACCTACTCCCATGATTGGCCTAATAATTAAAGCTATCCTGCAACCACCGCCGTACTGCAGAGCTGCGGGCGCATCAGGAGCCCATGACATGATACAGAGGGACAGCTTAACTATTAAATATCCATCACGCCATGCCACATCAGTCCTAATGCAATCAGAAACACATGACTACATCGCCCGGGCCCCCACTTCAATCCACAATGATTAAGTAAGTCTTTAATTTCCAAGACAAATAAAAAATGCAAGATCATTTTATCATGAATGTAAATGACCTGTCTCCTCAGATGACAGTTCGATTTGATTGGGAAGAGGGGGGGGGGGAATCTACTGTAGCTGCGCAGACTAATACGAGGCTTTGTGTACTTCAGAGAGGACGCACGTGGGCTGTGGTCTTTTTGCCGTATTATCATTTTAATGAAGCAGGGTATTTCTTTTGTGGTCGGAAGGCTCTAATGCAGTTGTCCAAGACTCTCCTTTCATCTGTCTTCTTCAAACGCTCGAGGTTGTTAAACAAATGGATGTGTCGGAGTATATAACGCTGATGTGGCCAGGCTGCTGTTGACTGGGCCAATTAGGGCTCGGAGAGAAAAGAATAAGGCATGTCTGTTCACTCACTCAAACCGTCATACAATACAGTCTGGCTGCTTTGTGTTTATTAAAATCACCTGGATCCTTAAGGATTTTGTAGAATACACTGTAGTATGACATTGCTCTCTTGCAATTTTCATTATCAGGACTTCCTGTACTGTTTTTATCTTGCTAATTAGCATCTAATTATAATAAAATGTTTTCCTCGTACCTGATGTGTCATGATTTACCCGATACTGTTGTCTCCATGTTTAAATGAATGAGCATCTTTAGAAAATTTTTTAATTCTACACCTAAGAGATGATAATGATGCATACCTGTTTTCTTAAGTCATAATGGGAATGCTGAAATATGACAACGCTGATTTCTCAATGTGCTAATTACTGAGCAAGTGCTGATGTGCTAGTGGCTAAAGGTGTATCCAAGTAATATCGTCAGTCATGTTCTTTTCCATAACGTGCGCAACAAAAATTGAGTTTTTGAGGAAGTATGGGTAGTTACTCTTTAAAATATAAAATTTTGAAAATGCATTGCAAGAATTGCATTTAAGAGTGTGCATTTGATTCAATAAATGCACATTTGATTTTTATTTATTAAAGTTAAATGCACTTATAGTGGTTATTCACTCTGCAATTGCAATTCAGTTGTCTCCTTATTCCCACTCTTTATTTTTGAGCTTAGTAAAAATATATTCCTTGTAATTGGTTTTGCAGACATCATTTTATTTTGTAACACATAAAATACATAATTTTTAACTGTTTTCTCCTTCAGAAGTTAAATACGTTTTGTGGCTGTTTTTAGACTTGATTTCAAGTGGTATTAAAAAGTAAAAATTGTTCCTGGTTGTATGAATGCCTCTAGACAAGACAGAGGAAAAGTCTAATGAATGAATGCAGAGTGCAGATATGTACATTTAGCATAAATGTTCTTAAAGGGGTCACATGATGCGATTAAAATTTTTCCTTTCTCTTTGAAGTTTTACAAGCTCTTGGTGCATAAAGAATATCTGTAAAGTTGCAAAGACTCAAATCCAAAGAGATATTCTTTATAAAAATTAAGAGTCAACCACGCCTACCTAAAACGGCTCGTTCTAACATGCCCCCACATGTCTACGTCACGATGTGGGAAGATTTGCATAACGCCGCCCAAATGTTCACGCAAAGAAAGAAGGCGTACCTTTTATTCTCGCTGTAGTATTGTTGCTGGCGCCGCCGCCATGTCGTGAAGACGCTCTGTGTTTCATTGTGAAAGCAAAACTACTTTGTTTGGTCTTCCAAAAGAGGACGATATCCGCTTCATCGTGCCTAGAGGTGACCCGTGCTGGTCGCTGAGGAAATACATCAACTTCGCGCTGTGGATCGCCGGATCGGCTTTCACTGTGGACGAAGCGGAGTCCAGCTCGGGGTCGTCACATGTGGTTGCCGCAAGCCCGCCGGCCGTTCCTCACTCTAGCCTGCCAGCTGCCGCTCACTCAAGCCCGCCGTGTGACGATGTGTGTTTTGTTGTGAAAGCAAAACTACTTTGTTTGGCCTTCCAAAAGAGGACACGACTAGAAATCAGTGGTTAAGTTGTATTTACAACACTGTTCCAGAACAGTTCAACCCAAATATTCAGATGTGTGCAGCGCATTTAATGGAGGACTGTTTACTGATCCTGTGAGAGTAGACTACAATGCCGGCTGTTCTGACTCACAGACTGTAAGTAAGTGTTCATATTTAAAGGATTTGCCACTGATGATTCAAACGCGAGTTTTGAGCAGTTTAGAGTAGTACTTGTTGTTTATCATTTCTCTGATCACAAATGCAGACATGGTTTTATGTTTACGCGGTAAAAAGCGTAAAAAGACAGTATAAGTCATTATAATCCGTAATTATGTCCCCACTGGATGCAACAAATGCCTAGTTTATAATGGGTTTTAATGTTTTTGTCTTGTCGCTCTGGCCAGACGGGGCATCATCACAGTATGGTGAGGGGCGTAACATTTCCATCACACGCTTGAGGTATTCGGCCAATCACAACGCACTGGATAGCTGCCCAATCACAGCACACCTCGCGTTTCAGACCGATGAGCTTTGTAAAAATCAATGTGTTTCAGAAAGGCGAGGAAAGGATTCACATAGAGGAGAAACAATCATGTACAGTATGTGGAAAATAATGTTTTTTTAACTTTAAACCGCATAAACACATTTCATTACACAAAATACACAAAATAATGTTCTTTTTAGCAACATCATATGACCCCTTTAAGAAAGTTTTTTTTTTTGGAATGCTTTTAAAAGTTGTCTTGCTTGGTGGTATAATCTGATGTCCCTCTTGAAAGCAATCCTTCCTCATTTGTAAAATATATTTGGTATGTAAAGATTTGTATTGACTAATATTAGTATGTAAACATAAAATATGACAGTTCACATTATAGAGCTTTTTAGTATGCTGTTTCATGTATGACATACCACCTTTGTATACTTAAATTTATTTTTCACATGAATAAGTTATAAATTTCATTGACACTATAATATGACTAATATGATATTTGAGACAGAATTTATTAAAACAATTAGACATTGTCTAAATGAATGAGTAAACCCAAAGAAGTGTTACATGCATCCCACCTCTCCCCTAGAAACGACGGCTAATGTATTGATCAGTGTAATAATTGTGTAGTGGTCCACATTGTGTATCTTCAGGAAAGCCTTTTTGGTTTAATATTTTATAAATGAATTTTAAAAATGCACAATTCATTCTCAGTTATGAAGTGACTTTGCATTAGTGACTTTGTATATCAGGGATGGTCTGTGTGTGTGTGTGTGTGTGTGTCTGTGTCTGGCCGGGGGGCTAGGGGGGTGTTGAAGCGGGTGATTTGATGGGACGAGGGTGTCAGAGCAGGCAGACGCCGCCTGGTGTTTCTCCAATCTCATGTTTATGCAGAGATCAACTGATTTCTTTTGATTTGGCATTGAGGTTCTTGATTTACCGCTGACTAGCTGCTGGCAGCCTTTCAACAGAGTTCCACAGGTTCAGGGGTTCACTAATTACCTCTATGGCAGAGCAAGAGACACTCACACACTTAAAAACACAGCCTGGTCTGTACTAGCCACCTGCTCTGGTCCCAACTCTACCCACAAGCACGTCATTTATGGTGGAGGAAGTAGTTTGCCTTGTTGTCAGAGTCCCCATCATGAAGAGACAGAAACTCTTTGGTGGCCTGATACTCATATTATTAATTCACACACACACAGAGACACACAGAAGATGGATAAATATAAACATATTTAAAGTGTCTCATCTGCAGTCAACACTGAAGGGATCAGTGGGCGCCCTGTCAGTGTTTCACAAATCCTGTTTACTTGCCTTTCAACGCATACAAGCTGTAAAGCATAGTTTGTGGAGTCTTTCATTTTCTTTTCAAGTTATTGTGCTATCTGAGTTTATAAAGGAGTGCATGTTCCAAAATCATGTTCTTCACAGGACTGTAAAGTATTGATCCTCTTTATCTAGAAGATGCAAGTTCATGTTCAGGTTGTAGCTGGATGGGTTGCTGAGGGCCCATTTTTGAGAGCAGAATGGTATTAAAACGCATCTGGGTGTGTTGAATGAGGGGGAAAAGAGGTCCATGAGAACTGACAGACATGTGTGCATGCACACACACACAAACTCACACACACACACACACACACACACACACACACACACAGTTAGCATGACGGGAGTCATGTGGATAAATCACCATTCACTCCGGGAGCAGTCACAGTCAATGACATATTCACTGGCTGCTTCAACAGCTCATTTGATAACACTCTCCTCACGCCATTCTGTTTTTTTCTTCCACGAGATGAAAAGCTGGCTGAAAATCTCATCAGCTCAGTGAGGCAGGGCTGATAGTAACTCAAGATAAAGGAGGGAGGAGGTGCCTCCTAATTAATTAACTTTCTGTGGCCTGCCACGGGCAGAGAGAGAGAGAGAGAGAGCGACCACAATATCCCGCCTTTTTCCAGGGGGCTTTCAATTAGACATGCGTTATAATTAAATGCGATGTCAGTGGGACCAGGCAAGACCTGGCAGATCTATGTCCACAGCTTAGTTACTCGCATTTATCATTTTGACTGATGACTGCGGCCTACAGGAATATTGTCTTGGATTGTTTCTGTTGTTGTATGTCTTTTTTTTTTTGAGGGCAGGCTAATAGAGCCCTTCGGTCACCAACCCTCTTGTTTGCATGTGCTATTAATGCTCCTATATGATACCAGCACTGTATTGCTTGTTTGTTTATATTTTATCAGTAGTTTAATCTGAGTGAAACATAGGACGTAGACTTTGATTTTAATTTAATTCCTGTTTCTATTGAACATAATGGCTCTATTCCAAAAACCTACACTGTAAAAAGTGGTAGCCTGCAATCCCATATTTTTTCATAAATGAATGTATTTAGGTTGATTAGTGATGTTAAAAATATTTTTGATTGAAATAAAACCAGGTAATTTAGATGCAACCATTTTTAGGTTAGCATTTTCTACCTGATTTAATGTATAAAATTTGTTTTTAACCCATACATTTACTTATTCATTTATTTATTTTCATAAATTAATGTATTTAAGTTGATTTGTCTTGTTAAAAATATTTTTGATTGAAATAAAAACAGGTAATTTAGATGTAACCATTTTTAGGTTAGGTTTTTTTCAGTATAGTGAGCTGCCTCAGTGTGTGAAAAGAGCGGCACAGGAATTCTGTCTGCCGTGAGGGAATGCCTACTACTCCTTAAGAGCACATCTCTCTGATCAGTGACACTCAGCACACAAACACATACACACTTTGCCAACGCGTCATCGGCATCCAGGTATCCACTTGCTCTGTCTGATATGTCTACAGTCTCGTAGCAAG